TGCTGACCTAGAATGGCACTGCTTGGGTATATCACTGGGATTCATGAAGAGTGGATATTGATTAGAAGTCAGTCTGTTACTGATTTGCAAGAAAAGAATTATTTTGTTGCTGCTGGTCTGTATTTGCAAATGAATGCGCTCAAAAGGGAAGATTAGAGCCTGTTCCTACCTGTTGGCAAAATACATTAAAAATTACATATTTCTTGGGCATCTTTTATCCAGCACATGCAAAAGAAGACTAAATGAATGAGAACTGAGATTAAGATATATGAAAGCATGATAGTAATTTACATTTTGCGAAGTACATATGTATAGTCCGACATTCTTAAAAATCAAGATCTGTGTGGTACTGATTATCATTTATGCCACTGGAAAATGTATGTCATTTTCAGTAGTTTGGCTGTGTAGCTTTGTGATGTCAAGCATGAGATCTTGAAGGTGTCTGTTCTACATTTCATACAGAATTTTCAAAACTGCTTAACTTCACATAGATCGGAGGCTTATCTCAACTTTTAAGAAATGGCAGACAAACTCAAGAGCAGGGTTGTGAAAGATACCTGGAGTAGCCTGGAAATGGGAAAGAGTCTATTCTCAAATAAGCCAGTGGTGGAAATACAATAGATTTGGTATGCTATCCAGCCAATAGGAAACATTAATAAAAGCCAGTATGAAACTCTTGTCAGAAAAGGAAGGCAATATGATGAGCATAACAAAAATAGTGAAGATGTTTGCAATGTATCTTTGGTGTTGTGAATAAGTAGCTATGTGCACATGTCAGAATCAACTCTTGGTAGTTAAAGCAGTAGTATTTTCCTCCAGATCTGCAGCTAACTTTTCAGAGTGATCCAGGACAATAGGGTACAGAGAAACTCCCTTGACAAATAGAACTGTAAAAGTGGCTTGCATCACTGTGTGTGCTGCACCACTTTCTGTTTTAGATGATTTTCTGTTTGACTTCTTGATAGACTAATGTTACCCTTCTTCCTAGTTCAGTGCCCAGCACATTAAATAACTGAAGTTCCCAGATTTATCCTGCTTTAATTTTGAGATGAATGCTGGCACAAAAAAAAAAAAGAGAAATCTGGTTGTGATTCAGAATCATTCTAATTCATATGAAAACACAGATAAGTCAAAAGGCACCTACAGCTCTTTATTTGGTTTGGGTTTCTGTTGTTTTGGTTTTTTTTTCAGGGGGTGGTGGTGCACGGATTGTTCCCTGGTTTTGTGCCATGATACATATGGATGATGACAGATCCTTACATTTCTGTGGTAGCCAAAGGGAAGTCCAGGCACAGAGGCATTCCTTAACTCCATTTTTTTAACCTGTTTCCTCTCTCTAGCATACATTTTTTTTGCCTATGTAAGTAAATGTGTTTTGTGATTCACTGAAGAGTAACTCATTCTGTCTGCTATCAGGAAACAAATACGTATCTCTAGCAATGTAGGCTAAGCAGGAGCGGAAGGTTTCTAAGGGTGGAGAAGAGGACAATGTAAAAATCTCTGCCTTCACACGTTCCTGAAAAAGTGGAGCTAAGTACACGTATACCTTATGAATGTGTGTGTTCTTTGGCACTACTGTCATAGGTAGTGATCTCCCTGTACCAGACACAGTTCTTTTCAAAAGAAACTTATGTAGTCTAAGTGGATATGAACATACAGTTGACTTGCAGAGGATCAGGGATATTGGTCATCATGCTACTTGGCAGTCAGTTCATCCCCCAGTCAAAATTTTCATGTGGTATTCTGGCAAAAGGAGGTTTTATGGGCTGAAAAAAACCCTTTCATTAAATGTTTATAATAAGTCTTACCTGGCATCAGGAAATCATGGGAGAAAGCACTGATGTCATTTTGAGTGCGGTTAGGAGGTGAAGGGGTATATATTTATATTCAAGGCAATGTAAAGAAGCTATCAATCTTTCAGTTGTTCACAGTAGTAGTTTGGGTAGGAATAGGCTGAAGTGAGCATTTGAAGGTGTTGACAGGTATCGTATAGTTGCTGAGGTAGTAAAAGGATGTGTTGTGGGGCCAGGCAAGGAAAGGAGAAGTGGTCTTTGTGCAGGCGTTCCAAAGGAAATGTGAAGTAAACATGCCATTCTTTAGCCAGTGAGATACTACAGCAGTGGGTGAATCAGTGCACAGTAGTGACAACTAATCAACTTTGGTTAGTCAAACCAAAGAAAGAGGAATGGCCATGTATTTGGAGAACAACGTTTGTCAAGATACTGCGCTTCAAGTAATGTAAGACCAACTGGCCTATAATGTGAAAGCCTGGATTTTTCTAGGCCTACAAATTTTTTCCCAAATGTGCTCCCTGTGTTTTTTGTGTGAGGTGATTCTGAAGCTTTTCTAGTCAGCAGCATTGTAATTACTTATCTTTACCTTTGAAATGTCTAAATTTGCCACCATTAGGTATTTGAAAGAAAAAGGCTAGAAAGTCAAACTTTAGTGGAACTGAATCACTGTTAAGTTTCTGGTTGAAACAATCAGCTAGCTTCATCTTGAACTGCAGTTAGTTTTTAATTGGCTCCTAAGAGCTAATGTAATTTTCAGACAGAAATTTTAAGTTCAGAAGAAAAATATGTTAATACCAAATGCGTAGTATCCCACAAGAGTTTCACAAGCTTGAAAAAGATGGCCTCTCCCAGTTGTAAGCAGTTTCTAATCTTGCTATATGCTAGAATAAACTGAGACACTTAATAAAGTCTACAAACTCTTACAACATCTACCATACTGATAATCAGGATGAGATCAGTAGACATCTTTGATTCGTATATGTGATATTTTCTACTTTTAAAGTCATTAAGATATCCATGTTGTATTTTGGTTCTGCTGTTAAGTAGAACAGAGGTTGGCTGGGAAATTGATGCTTGGCATAAACAGCTCCTACATGTACTTAAAGCTTTACTTACAAGAGTGAAATAGATTCAGCCACTGAGGACAGGGGTCAAGTCTGGATAGCGCTTCAGGTGACCTTGAAAAGCCTTTGGTCCCAAATTGTTTTGCTGAAAGGTGGAAATAGTCTTTGGAAGATACTCTTTTGGAAGTGTAATAGTTATAAAAGTGGCAGCAGTCACGGTAGGGAGGGTGGGGGAAGACATGTAGGACAGCTTTCTCTACGTACTGGTATTTCATTTAACGCCTAAGGCAGTGATAATCAATGACAGCTCCTTCTCCTTTGGAGCATGTGTGGTACTGATCTGGTAATACCTCTTTAGGGACAACAATGTGAAGTAACTGTGAATGGTGGAAACTACCAGGAGGCTTGGAAACTGCTTTATCCTCTCAGTTCTGGATTTTCCTTTACAGAAAACCACTGAGAAATCTGAAAGAGAAAATGAAGAACATTTGGAGAATAGGAAAGGTGGCCAGAAAATGGAAAATGGGAGACTTGAAAAAGAGCTTGAAGGGATCAAATATGATATAGCATAAACCATGAAGAGGGTGCCAAAGTGGTCCCTGAATTATTTATGATGAGGGAGATGAGAAAGTTGGGCCAGTGTGGAAGGAAGTAGAAATTATTTGAAGTTTGTTGGTATTGTATAGCCCTTGGAGGAACCGTTGTTTGTGGTGTTTTGAACTAGTTTTACGCATTAGGAAGAAGTAATTATTTGGCAGAAGGATGCTCCAAATAGATTACTTTTGCCAGGATCCAGTTAGAGCATACATCACTGATTGCTGATGACTGCATTGCAGGGATCTGCCTTCTCCAGGCAGCGTGTCCATAGAAAACTAGGCATCTGCTTTTGCCTGGGGGAATATTTTGATCATTGTCAAATATGCCATTTAGGCATTGTATGTAGTTGAGGTCAAAACCTTGGTTTGTCTTGCATAATTTTTAATTGTCTCTTTCAACCTGAATGTGTAGCCCAGTTTTCAGGCATCTTTCTGGCTGGCTTCCTATATACATCTGTACGGTACAGCTGTCTCCAGTTTCTTCCCATTTCAAATTACTTTTTAGCAAGTCCTTAGTAAAATCACTAGCACTACTGTCAGTAGCTTCAGTTCTGTGCTGAAACATGAGATGATGGTGTTAGACTGCTGGGACTGAAATACTTCCGTATTTTGTGACCGTCTATTGCTATCTTAGCTTGTTTTAACCTATGCTGTTCACCTTCAAAACCTGCTTTTCATAAGTAATGCCTGCCTTTCAGCAAAATTTCTGCAGAAATGAAACAAGTAAGATTGTATATTTTATGTTTATATATATTTTATATATAAAATTAGCATTCATCTATTTTCATGTTATTTTCTCCTGTTTTCTGTTTTTAGAATCAGTTTCCAGTTTCAGAAAATCCTTAAATTTTTTTAATTAAAACACATAAACCCCCAAGCAAAACAACAGACCAAAAAAACCCAGGGTTTGGAAACAGGTAGCCAAAAGAAACATGTCCTCTATTAGCATACTGAAAATGCCTTAGCATGTCATTTTTTCTAACAGCATTATCATTTTCTAGAATGTAATGCAAGTGAAAGCTGTAGAGTTGTTTAAAATAGATGAGCTCCCCTTTTCCACCCACCTACACACTCAACTTTTTGCAGGGAGTAAGAATCCTGGAGTAGGCAGGAAGTAAGTACTGTCACCATCAGTGGCTTCAGACAGCCGATTGATGTGCATGGTACTGACCATTCTGGCTTTGTCCTAGCAAAACCACGCAGGCCCCTGCTTAACCTAAGTCATGCTAGAGGTCCTGCTAACGTGAAACAGAATGATTAGCATATTTAATACTCTTTTGGCTTATTCTCTGAGTCCTCAGTACTCTTCATGGTCAAATTTCTTGTATTTAGTACATTCTTGCAGAGCAGGACTGACCATTAATGCTAACTAATGGTGAAGTGTAAAACTTAAGACCAATTTCTTTTTTGTGTGGCTGGGAGGGAGAGCAAATATATTGGTATAAACTGGTGAAGCTGATGTAGTTGCATCGGCGTAAGTTCAGAATTTGGCATGGGGTGGAGATGCAAGTAAAGCTGTATTGTACTTCTGTGGTTTTGATTCACAGAGGTTTGTGCGAACTTAGGTAGCTGGTGCACACATGGGACATCATCAAAGAGCCCAACCAGAAAGTCAGAGCTTGGATTTGGAGTGCCATACACCTATACATTTAGAAGCATGTTGTTATAGTGAGGCGAGCAAAGCATCTTTTCATTAAAACAGGTAACTACAGTTTACTTTCAAAGTTTACTTTTATATATTACAATCTGCAATGTAGTAAATGTAGATGATTTTTAGAGATTTGGTATTTTCATTATTCTTCAATGTTTATACTGCTTGCAAAGACTGGAAGGGTCTTCCTGTAACTTGCTGAGTTCACCCTATCACTACTACTGGCATAACAAAATATTTTTTTATAAGCTAGCCTTTATTTAACTTGAGAGACCGTTCTAGACCCACACTTAGCCAACACCAAAGTACTTAAAAAGAAATAACTTGGAGAAAAAATTTAGTCTAAATCTGTTCTTAACTAGTTTTTCCTTAATTTTTAGTGTGCCAGGATTGTCTAGGTTAAACAGTCTCTTCCTCCTACTGTTTTCTTCCCTTTTCACAGATTGTTTTGCTAGGATAAACAAATCAAATTTTCTTAGGTTCCTGTTAAAACATAGCAGCTGCATTCCCCTGAACAACGCAAAAATTACTTTCTCTACAGCTCTTGTAGTTGAATTTGACCTGTGATTTTTTTGCCCTTTTTTTTTGTTTGTTTTTTTTTTAGTGTGATGAAGACAACTGTATGCTACTGGAAGTATCTCTAAGAAGTTAAGAAATTAATTGAGAAATAAACCTGATAATTTGCCTTTTTCTATTTGTATCACATTAGGAGCTCAATTTCCTTAAACAGATGCAGTGAATTCCTGCTTTTCTTCTGAGTTTAGAGCTAAAGTTTCTGTTATTAGAAGCAGAAAGAAGAAAGTTATTAGAAACATTAGAACTTATGTTTTGTATTACTGAATTTTACCTATTTCTGTTAACACAGTCCTTAAAGTTGAGCAATTCTTTCTATAGAATATTCTTATCCTTGTCAGTTTTGACAGTACCTTCCAGTTTTATTTCATAAGGAAAATTCATCAGCATGTTGCCTTGTGCCAAAATAATTAATGAAAACGTTAAACAAAACCTCTCCCAAAACGTATCACAGAAGAGCTTTCCTTGAGCCTGTGCTTCCCTGTACAAAAATTAATTTGTTCCTTAGGTTTTCTAACATTTTATCAAATACATACATGCTGAAACAAAAAAATGGCTGTTTTATAGAGCAATTTGACAGTCCTTATTGTGATAGTTGTCTTACTAGACTCATTAGAACAAAGCTTGCAGAATCTGTTTTATAATCTCCATTCCTAGCTGAAAGAAATCTTTCTTGAAATGCAGCTCTTTTAGACCAAACAGTTAACAATTAAAATTAACTTTTTTCCTAAACAAAATAATACTTTTTAAATTAATTATAATGGCATGTCACTTTCTCATACATACCTTTTGTTTATCTATTTCTATATGAAAGTAATAACTTGCATTGGAATTTATTAAAATCTTTTGGGAAAACCCATGATTTGTCAGCCTACTATGTGCTTAATTCAACTGCAGGGTTCTGTTCCTTAATAAGAGCAAGAAATGTGATTATTAGTAAGTCAGCATGGTCAGATAAGCAGTGTGAACAGCATTATCACCAACAGAAGTGAATCAGTTCTGTAACAGGAGATGGGTCTGGGTAACCATCACTTTATCATGTGACAGCTGCTGTCGTTTTTGGCAGTCTCTCAGAAGATCATCACAGAGGGTCACAATTCAACATCTAAAGTTAGAAATGGTGTAAGGCTGGTAGTAACGAGGGCCAGCATGCAGCTGCTAAGGTAGACTTCTGAATCGTGCAACATGGCTGCTTTTATACATGAGAATCAATTACTGAAAACCTTTCAAGATAGTCAAAATGCGACATTAAATAATTGAGTATCAGGTCATAGAATCAGAATAGTTAGGATTGGAAAGGACCTTAAGATCATCTAATTCCAACCCCACTACCATGAGCAGGGCATCATGCACTAAACCATGCTGCGCAAGACTTCATCCAACCTGGCCTTAAATACTGCCAGGGATGGAGCATCCACAACTTCCCTGGGCAGCCCATTCCAGTACCTCACCACCCTTACAGTAAAGAACTTTTTCCTTATATCTAACCTAAAGTCCCCCTGTTTAAGTTTAAACCTATTACCCCTTGTCTTATTACTACAGTCCCTAATGAACAGTCCCTACCCAGCATCCCTATAGCCCCCCTTCAGATAGTGGCAGGCTGCTATGAGGTCTCCACAGCCTTCTCTTCTCCAGGCTGAACAGCCCCAACTTTCTCAGCCTGTCTTCATACAGGAGGTGCTCCAGTCCCCTGATCATTCTCGTGGCCCTCCTCTGGACTTGTTCCAACAGTTCCATGTCCTTTTTATGTTGAGGACACCAGAAGCCTACACAGTCGCCAGGTGTGGTCTCACAAGAGTAGAGGGGCAGGATCACCTCCTTCAACCTGTTGGTCACGCTCCTTTTGATGCAGCCCAGGATATGATTGGCTTTCTGGGCTGTGAGTGCACACTGAAGCTTACTCATGTTAAGTTTCTTATTGACCAGCACCCCCAAGTCCTCCTCTGCAGGGTTGCTCGGAATGTCTTCTTTGCCCAACCTGTAGCTGTGCATGGGATTGCCCCAGTCCAGGTGTAGAACCTTGCACTTGGCTTTGAACTTCGTAAGATTGGCATCAGCCCACCTCACAAGCATGTCAAGGTCCCTCTGGATGGCATCCCTTCCCTCCAGCTTCTCAACTGAACCACACAGCTTGGTGTTGTCTTCAAACTTGCTGAGGGCACATCAAATCTTGTCTGCAATTAGTTATCCAGAAAAGTAATTATGCAACAAAATCAAGTGCTTGAGATTAGTTATATGAAGCACCTTGGTTATTCAAAAGCTGTAGGAGAGGATTTTTTTTTTTTGACTTGTAACATGGAGTTTTAAGCACCTAACTAATTTTTTATTAAATTTAAGAAGTCTTGCTCAATTGTGATTCTTGTCATTACTCATATCTGCAATAGAAGATCCATTGCACATGAAACAGGTGTTTGACTAACTTTGTTTTGTGTAAAGTAAAAATGATCAGCTGTAGAGGAGAATGTCTTGCAAGTAGTACATTAAAAAGCTAATCTGTTTTGTTTAGGGGGAAATAGCCTCAATATCATTCTTTCGTCTCTTTTACTAAGAGTGTAAGTTTAATTGGAGAACAGATATGAAATACTCTAAAGGTCAAATTCATTCTTTTTTTAAAAAGTTATGATAAATGTAACAACATAGATGATGTGAAAGGTTAGAAAAGCCATTAAAATATAATTTACACTAATAGAAGTAGTTAGCCTACATTAGTTAGCTCAGATATTCAAAGTAAGAAAGAAAATGAATAAATAAAAAGGTATATGTATCCAATGTAACAGACTTTAAGTTTAAACTCTCACATTAATTGTTTTTAACAGCTTTTAGATACCATGAAACATTTATTTATGCAATCATGATAAACCTGATTATTTGTAACTGGCTTCTAATATTAACTGTTGTCATGTTTATGCTAGAATAATAGGAAAATTAATTCTAATCTGTAGATCTGTACAGAGTTTAATCTGTATGTATATAATATTTAAAAATCTGAAGTGATAAAGGGTAGTTGATTAGTCATGTTACTTAAGCTGGTCCCAAAATAGCAGCTTCCTTTTTTGGTACAGTTAGGTTTGCAGCTGTTGTCTCTATCTGTTGTCTCTGAAGAAAATTTTAACATTAAGAGTTGCTGACGTCAATTTTTTTCTTTTTTTTACAGCTGATGTGGGCTTTGCCCCTGACAGAAGTTATTTGGTTCTAGCTCTGAGTTTGGAAGAAGTTGGTATATAGATTTTCCCCTAACTTTCAATTGATGTGTTTAGCTTTAGTGGGAGTAATACTATCACTTAAACCATGTTGTCGTCTCAAGGAGTTTTGCTACATCCATATGGAGTGCCAATGATTCTGCCGGCAGCACCATACTTCGCTGGACTTGTTCAGGTAATGCAAGGCCGCTTCCAACAAGCAACTTAACTCTAGTGCACTTAGAGTAATAATTGGAATTTTTATGGTTGAGAAAGCAAACACTTTTAATACAGGCAAAAGCTCTCATGTAGTCAGTGAGAAGACAGTGGGAAATCAAAAAGATGGATCACCCTAATCTGTGTATTGACATCTCTCATGGCTGAATAAATGGTGTAGTTGAGCTATATTTGCTTGTATTGATTTATCTGCTGTTTAACATTCATGCCTTTGCTTCATGAGGTTGACCACAGGGCAGAGGATTTGCTATCCATTCTAGGTTTCTGAGGGAGTCAGCATTCCCACGGCAGGTCATAAGACAAAGTAACTTACCATTTTGTGTTTAGGTTAAGTGTTTTAGCATAGCAAATATGAATAGTGTTAAATATGCATTAATTCATATGTTACACCTCACACTGAATAAAAAAGGGTTTGTGTTTTTGCGTGTATAGAAATTTATCACCTTCACAGAATATTTATGCACATCGTATGAATTCTTTTGATCCCTGAAAGTGTAAGACCTTGCTTCAGGGCAAGAGCTCTGTATTTTAGAAGTTAACTGGCAATTACTAGATTTAGTTGATGTTCTGTTGTCCGGTTTTGATTTTATTTTTATCAGTAAGTGGTACTACTGAATTACCTGCTGCTAGACTTGAGGTTTTGAATAGATCGTGTAGATGCTAATTAAGCAAAAAGTATTATGTTATTTACAATGTTAGAAGACATTAAGAAAGAATTCAAGTACCATTTCCAAACATTGACAAAACATTGACATGTACCCTATAAATGGCAGTAGTAACATATTGTGCATCAACAGGGATGAGACATGCACACCCGTATTACAGCATTTCTGTGTCATGCTAGTGGTCGGTCAGATTAAGGGTGGAGGAGAGGCAAATTTTCATTATACTCCCTTACTACAACAGTTAGCTGGCATAGAGGGGCAATCACAGCACGAATACAGGGTTTTTTCCCATATAGGTCCCTTCAGTAATTGAAGACTTCACTTTAGGCTTAATATTAGACACAGATGTCTAAAACAGAAATACAGCATTGCACAGTGGCCATTATCAAATATCAAAAAAGTGTCTTCTGGGATATGAAAGCTGGTGCCGCTTTTTTATGCAGTGAGACACAGCAGCACACTTGAACACATCAAGCAGGCCTTCATATCCATTAGAATTTGGGGGTGAAGGTCGAATGCTGGATCTCAGTCAGACCCTGTGCCATCCTGTCCAATAAATAATTACAAGCAAATCGTGCCTTTCACTCCATGCTGATTGATGTTGAAATTGCTTTTGAAAGTTCTCATAAGTTCCTGTTATAGATTAAGTGCCGGTGTAGGAAAAATAACTGCACCCAACTGTAATGGGTGAATGTAATCGGGTTTAATGGACTCGAGAGCTTGTTGGGAATTAAATAACTATTGATTTGTTGGAAAGTTGCTGTCATTACAAAATGCCACTCTGGATGCATTATCCAAGCAGATAGATTAGAAGAAAGGCCCCTTTGAAAATTCAGGGTGCCTTATTTCAATCTTTTTTTCTTTTCTTTCATTAGAAAGATATATCTAGGCCTATGCTACTCCATTAGCATAGGTCTGAAATAGTCAAGCAATCAGAATTGTTCTACAAAAAAAAAAGGTATGTTTGTAGGTACAGTTGAATAGTGTTCTTTATATGGATACTTCTCTAGACTCTTCCTCTCCCTAATATCATACCTGAAAACTGCATTTTGGAAGCAAAAGATTTGAATTACTGTCTTAGTGGATGAACTAGAACATTAAATGGCTTAACCACTTTCTCACCCCAAGTTTTTATGTGCGTTCGCAGTATCTATAGTCAGCTTATGGTACTAGAATGCTTATTTTTTGTCTCTTAGAGTAGACCTTAGTATCCAAAATAAAAAATTCAAAGGGCACATGGTAGGCATATTTATATCATCCTCTTGTAAGCAGTAATTACATAATATTCAGAACTTTAATGGAAATTTTCTTCAAACATATGCCTTGATAAACTGATTATGCAAATGTTTTTGCTGGGTTGCAGGTTGAGAGCCACAACCCTGAAGTATTTTCGAATACAAGGCAGTTTTAATATTTTAAGAGACTTACAAGATTGCAATTTATTTGCATGGATTTCTGCAGAAAGGAGATGTATTTCTGATTAGGGATTCCCCATGATTTCCAATTGGATTTACACCAAGATTGCATATAAGAACAGCGTAGAATACTGCACAGGGCTGTGGAGAACTTTTTTGTTTTTTTCCATGTTTTGTGTTTCATGGTTGAGTAGGAGAGAGCTCAGGTCTCTCTGGAAGACTGCTTGTCTTCAGGGGTTCTGCACCTTCAAGTACTGTGTGTGATTTTACTTTATTCTGTGTATGTGTAGTCTTTTCCAGCCTCTCCTCCTAAATCCATCAGTGAACTCTATCTTACCTCCTTGTCTTTTGTCACACCTGCTTGTTACAGAGTACTAGAATGTGTGAAACTTAGAACACACAAAAAAGGGCATGTACTGTGGATACATCTCTAGAAATACTTTCAATAAACAGCCATGTGTGTTTTCCAATTGGCTGTATTACTAAGATTTGTATTCCTTTTCCTGAGATCATACGTGTCGTGGTTTAAGCCCAGGAGGTAACTCAGAACCGCACAGCTGCTCGCTTACTCCCTGCTTTCCCACCCCCAATTCCCTCTTACCCTTCCACCCCCGCTGACCCTCCCCCCACCCCCACCCCCCCGGGCCAGCAACTAAGGTATAACAGAAATCACTGCTGCTGCCACCAATAACAATGATGGTAAGGGAAATAACAAGGGGAGAGAATATAAAACTAAGAAGGGAAAAGGAAAAGAAAACAATAAACACAAGTGATGCACAATACAATTGCTCACCACCTGCCAACCAATACCCAGCCAGACCCAAGCAGTGATCTGGGCCTTCCAGGTAATTTCCCCTAGTTTATATACTGGCCATGACGTGCTGTGGTATGGAATACCCCTTTGGCTAGTTTGGGGCAGGTGTCCTGTCTCTGCTTCCTCCCAGCTTCCTATGCCTCTCCTTACTGGCAGAGCATGAGACTGAAAAAGTCCTTAATGGGAGTAAATACTACTTAGCAACAACTAAAAACATTGGTGTGTCATCAGCATTGTTCTTGGGGTAAAGTTGAAACCACAGCACTACATCAGCTACTGAGAATGAGCAAAATGACTGCTACAGCTGAACCCTGGACAATACATTTCAGAGAGATTATGAAAAATGGAATGCATGTGTTCCTGAAGAGAGAAGAGGTAGCTGTTCAGAGTTACAGATACGTCAAAATGTATCAAATTATATTCAGTATGTTTGGAAACTTAGTTTTATTTTCCAATAAATAAATACACCTTCAAGAAACTTCGTAGAATGATGGCATTATTATTGCCTATGATTTCTTAACACATTTTTGATGAGAAAAATAAAATAACTTCTCCCTTCTTCCTTCTGGGTGAAACTGTAGGAGGAAAAGATCACATGAAAGTACAAATGATGCATAAATAGCATTTATGCCTCATGTGGGTGAAGACATGTTTTCTGACTTTGCACAAAAGATGTGCTGGTGGCTTAGCAGGCTGTCACAATTATGCTGCCATGAGGACCAAGGCAGGTACTGCAGTCCAGCAACCACATGTGCTGCGTGCAGCAAGGCCTCCTTTGTGGGCAGCAAGGCTTCCTGGGTGTCAAAACCATCATGCTGTTTCTTCTGGCAGGTGAGTTAAGAAAAATGTCATAGAGCATTAGGTGGTGATCTAGTGAAAGACTTCTTATCCTGCCCTTGGTTCATAGCCCAGTTTTGTCATTTGATTCCCATGAGCGAGCCCTTATGTCCCAGTAAGAAGTTGGTAGGGTGTGACGTGAAAAAAATCCATCTGCAGTGGCCAGGGTATGGGACCAATGTCCTGTTGCCCAGAATTGTGGCTGTGTGCTACTACACTGTTTTACACATCTTTACAGTAAACAAGTGAAACGAAGCTCTCTTTATCATTAAAGTGCAGCAGCAAGAAAACATTAATATTTCCTAAGAGTAATATGTTTTGTAGAATAATAAGTTAAATGTCTCCATATTAGCTTCGTATTTGTAGGCTTTGAGTGGCTTAGGTATATAAATACTTTGCAATGACTGGATATATGGAGTATAAGGATTATGATAAAATATTTTAAAAACGCAAATGCCATATCCATTATCTAGTGCTTGTTGCTGAAGTATTTATCACATGGCTGGTCTATGTGGCTCAATTTCCGTTTAGCAGAGAAAGAATAGTTCACATGTATTACTGTGAAAATCATTGAAGTTGAAATTACTTAGACTTTTTGGTAAACTAATGGAAAATTCTAAATAAAGAGATAGTTCTATGTAATACAAAATGAGCTACTTAAATTTCAGAAGTAAAAAGATGGGGTGTGTTTTTTAATTAAAGTATGCTTTTATTTTAGCATGGTCACCAAAAAATCATCAAGAGTTCCAAGAGTTTAAGCTTATGTTCATTGTTAGGCTTCACCCAGCTAAGTTAAACCCTTTTCTTCTCCTTTCATTTGCTGATTTATTTGTATGGTGGAAAAGGGTAGGTAGAAGAAAAGTAGGAAATAGATGGCTGATGATTAACTGTCTTAATAAACTGCTGATTATAACTACATAATTCATGAACTTAAATTCTATATAATATATATATATTTAATTATATCTGTGCATCTGATTCTCTTAAACTGGATAACTACAGTGTTTGACTGACAACTGGAGAAGTGGTAATCTGGAGACAGCTCCATTTTATTTTAAGGCTGAGAGAATTGCCTAGAATATGCTGTGAAAAGTAGTGGTGCAGACTTCTTCACAGTTCCATCTTTACCCGTCTGTAAAATCCTTATTTTAGTGCTGTATTGGGAAGTGCTAGCAGTGAATACATTCAGAACACTTATAGATGCTACTGTGTTAAGCAAATTCATGCT